CGTTATTATGCCTTATGAATAACGGGAAACAATATTTCTTGAAGGTAGTCTGGTTTGGTATCGCTACAATCACCGAACAGCTTATTTTATTAAACTCTTACCTCTTTATAGATTCGATACTGATCGATAGCCCACACTGTTGGAATGTGATGGGTCATCAACTGGCTTAAGGTAAGGCGTGCGTTACAAGCTCGAGCACAAATAAGACGCGTCTTCCCCACGGCCGTGTCTCCGACAACCACACATTTGACGTTCTCTTGATGAGGTTGCTCATTGTCCATTGCTGTCCATCCTCTTGCACTCGGGGAAGAGGAAGATCTAGAGAAGAGGATGAAAAATACACGATCAGGCTTATCAAACTCTCTCTACTCACGAGCGTTTCGTTCATGTGTGTTTTTATTACAGCTTTTAGCAACACACACAACTCAAGTGTGTCTCGTTGATAATCCGTAAGAAAAAATATATAATAATAATACAGGACGCGCGCATGTGTGTAGCTACTGAATCCTCCAATATGAAGCAAACAAACCTTAATACTGTATGATAACAACTCACGGTCAAGTCACTTAAAGAGTTGAAAAGTGTTGAGAGTAATATTACACAATCCGTTAAGATTGGGCGGTGAGGCCACTTTTGAACAGGGTGGACAGTGCCCACTCTCGGTCACGAGTGAACAGTAGCCATCCTCCGTCAGGGTGGACAGTGGTCATCCTCCCTCGTGAGTGAGCATTAAAGCCACTTTTCAACGGTAGTTCGTCCTTCGTTGGAGCAACTACTATGAAGTAAAGACTGGTGTAATAAAGTGTTTGTCCTAGCAATCCTAACGACGAAAATATTGGTGTAATAAATTGTTTGTCCTAGCAATTATAACAAAGTAAAGACTGGTGTAATAAAGTGTCTGTCCTAGCAATCCTAACGAAGTAAAGAATGGTGTAATAAAGTGTCTGTCCTAGCAATCCTAACGAAGAAATATTGGTGTAATAAAGTGTCTGTCCTAGCAATCCTAACGAGGTAAAGACTGGTGTAATAAAGTGTTTGTCCTAGCAATCCTAACGAAGTAAGGACTGGTGTAATAAAGTGTTTGTCCTTGCAATTATAACGAAGTAAGGACTGGTATAATAAAGTGTTTGTCCTAGCAATCCTAACGAAGTAAGGAGTGGTGTAATAAAGTGTTTGTCCTTGCAACTATAACGAAGAAAAGACTGGTGTAATAAAGTGTTTGTCCTAGCAATCCTAACGAAGTAAGGAGTGGTGTAATAAAGTGTTTGTCCTTGCAACTATAACGAAGAAAAGACTGGTGTAATAAAGTGTTTGCAATCCTAACGAAGAATCTGATAAAGTGTTTCGTAATATAATATATTCGTTTAGTTTTTTCACGGACCAAGGTCCTTACCAAGGGTAACGAGAGCGGTGCGCACGTACAGAGGGGGCAACAATAGGTCAGCGACGATTAAGTAATATGTTATCATATTTGTGTTAATTATATTATCTAATAAGTCATTAGATAGATTACATTTTAGTGTGGTGCAGAATGTACCACTCACACGGAGCGATCGGTACGGCATAGGGCTAACAACGAGTATGTAAGAACACGTGAGACAAGTGAAGGAGGTGAACCTGTAGGTTATTTTATCCTAGAATCACCAGGTTCAGACTTCAGGTTCTTTTATCCTACAATCACCAGGTTCAGACTTTAGGTTATTTTATCCTACAATCACCAGGTTTAACCTAAAGTCTGAACCTGTTGATTGTAGGATAAAATAACCTAAAGTCTGTTTTATCCTACAATCACCAGGTTCAGACTTTAGGTTATTTTATCCTACAATCACCAGGTTCAGACTTTAGGTTATTTTATCCTACAATCACCAGGTTCAGACTTCAGGTTCTTTTATCCTACAATCAACAGATGTAATATTCTATCTTCTCCCTCTTTACTTTGCCACGAGCAGTTTTCAAATATGGCGGCTTATTAATTAGTGTCCTTGTTTGAGAAACGTTCAAGTGATATACTTTTTTTGATATCATTCAAAATAAATATAAAAACTAATAACTCAAAATTGTCCAAAATGTGGCTAAATTATACAGTAATACAGATGAATGGGTAAAAATTTAGCTAATCTTATCAAAGCCGATAAATATTTTTATCAATTTGTTAAGTCATGGGGATTGCAAACACTTGGTAACTCTTGCTAGACACACATACAACATGGCTCTCTAAAACCGCAAATACCTTCTTATAATATTTAGTTCCTCTTTCAACCGATAGGGGGCTCCCATTATTTAATAAATCTCAAAATGGTTTCTGAAATGTTTTTTATTCAATATCGCATAAAGCTACTGTACTAGCTGTCCCTAATTTACAAGTAATAGGCTAGAGGAAAAGCAGCTAGTTAAAACTACTCATCACCAACGAACAGTGGGACTGACTGTAACATTATAGCGCCCCCACGGCTGAAAGGGCGAGCACGAGTTTCGATCTATGACCCGTGGATTGCGAGTTAGACACCAGAACTATCAGGCCCATATGACAATGGTATTTAGCATTTCAACATATGCGTCAAACTTATGCAATAAATGAGAAAAACTCGGTCAAGTCGATGACCATAAGGTTCGGACATGGCCGTCCACAATATAGAACTACTGAAGAGAAGAAGAGCACACAGTCAACACCCACTTTCTATTATGTGACTGCCTCAGTTATAATGGCCCTCAAAGCTGATTATCGTAGCTCACACTTTAGACCTTTCGATCCGCAGCCCGATAAGCTAACCACTAGGCCGTGTTATAAAGAAAAAAAAACAGTTCGTTCCAACGCCGATGTCGCTTCCAGGTCGCGAAAAACTAAGATGATGTCACCGTGACTTAGCATATGATAACGACTACTTAAAAACCTAACTGTCATGGCGGTATTGGTAGACTCAAAATTCTGCACTTTTGTTTTCTTTTCCCAATTAATTCGTTTCATCACAACAGGAATTCAGGGTTAATAGCTGACACACATCCGGGCTTCTGAGGAACTAGCTAAAAACAGGCTCGTACACAAGCACGCCTTTATTTCACTAGTAACTTGGAGTAGTAGTGGCAAATACATAGTACAGCCATGAGTCACACAGCTAAGTCTCGTACAATGATCTAGGTTTAATGTATGTTGTTAAAGCATATTTATAAAGATACCGTTGTGTCGTTTAGGAAAAAAAATAAACGTGAAAAGCACCGACGTATAGCAGACCGTGTATCGTTTCAACCGATTTAAAGTAAAAATCGTTTCGCAATTTTAAGACTTCTCGTATTACGTATATCTTGTAAACACAGCAACGAATAATATTTAACTGTAAATTGTACCTATGTACGTATACACTCACACAAATAATGAAAGAAATGTTTACGTGTTGTAGGCAATTAGGGTTAACAGACTTTCCAGTTAAGCCTTTTAATTAAGCCTAACTTTAAGCCTTTTTATTGTTATTTTCTGTTCAATTATCAAATTGTTCCAATTTCTCCATGCCTCAATATG